TACGGGTTCTTTTCACTTGTGTATGAAAGTTAAAAATATCTTTTTTTTTTCACTTTTAACTTAATTCTGTTGTTGCTGTAATTACGTGTGAAAAGCTTTTGTGTAATTAAGCTCTATTTTCACTTTCTTTTCGGGATGCTTCATTTCCACTTTATTATCTCTTTAACAACGAAACTGGGCCACGTGTGATATCGTCCCAAGTTGTCACAAATAATGTGCAATCAACTCCCACATAGCTTTGTTGTGTTTCATTTCAAGAGAGTTTTGCTTAGCGTTGGCAAAAATGTCTTGTGTTACTGACTGATATTGAGAGCGATGGTGCCAGACAATAATGGAAGAGAACTATTTGGTTTTGTTTGCCTAGCCACCTCAAGATCTGTTCCAATATTGACCCTGTTCTTCCATTATCCACAAAACTGATAGTTCTTATAATAGTAATATATCAGTGTAGAAACTTGATTCATCTGGATAAACAAGCAATTCTGTTTAATTGTGTGCTATGAAACAAATAGAAAATCAGGAAACCTGTAATTTCACTGTACAAGTAGGGAATGTTACATAAAATAATGGTCTGAAATGTTTTTGTTTCATTTATTGAATCAAAGAACAAACACTATCATGGTAAATATTCAGGTCTTCTGTTTCGGAAGTACAGTATATCCATATATATTGTTTTCAATGCTGTTATAGCACTTTAGTACCACTTTAATTGCCATGGCTCCATCCTATGTAATCCTGGAATTTGTATTTTGGGGCACTGGCTCTAGTACTACAGATCAAGGGGCAGTAATAGAAAAGTCTGTTCTCTATCATCTCTGTTCCAGCTTTACAAAGGATAATCAGAGGAGGACTGTAGCTGGAACAATTTAGATTTTTGGAATCCAGCAGCTACAAGCCATGATGGCTCGGTGATTTGGGGAGTTGTAGTCCAAAACAAAAGCAATGTTTCTAAACTCTCCACACAGCTATAAAGTCTGCATTGATGCACTTCTTCCCTTTCTCACTTCCGTGTCAGATTATGCCATTTTTGTTTCTGTTTTACATTACAAAATTCATTCTTGTTTTTAAATGCACATTTCTTCAAATGTGTACATTTGCATGTGCTTTAAATTTTTAAGCTATATATGTCTCTTCAATGCAAGTGTCCCCCACCCCAACTAAAGCACATTTAATCATCCTTTTCAACACAAAGGAAATGCACACATTTTTCTATCTGCACCTATCAAGCATGCATGCATTAATGAATCCACAGCCATGCATCAAGATGTAGATTTAGGCTAGAAATTATGTCCAACCTATAGATGGTCAAGGAAGCACAGACTGGGTAAAGGCTGCAAGAGAAGTCTGCCAAAGCAGATTCCCCACATATCCTTAGCTTACTGAAGCATTGTACCCACACAGACCTGTGAGGGAATTTAGGTTGGGGAACTGGGGGAAGGTCATAACTCAGAGCTTGGTAAATTTCTGGTTTTGAATAACAACTCTTGGCTGGCAATTCTGAGAGTTATTATCCAAAAAAGCAACTTTTCCAGGCTTTTTCTGCAGTACATGCTTAACTGTTTGTAAAAATGAACATTCCATTATCTGGGCAACACAGTTAAGGGAATATTCTTTTTTCCAGGTAAGAAAGGGTTAATGATGTGATGAGGTTGTAAATTTGGGGGTCAACATCACAGAGACAATTGACCAATGGGAATGGCCAGTTGACCAAAGTGTGAATCATTGAGATCTTTCTCAGCAGATGTTATAAAAAGCCTGAGGGAGGACTATGAGGGAAACTCTAACAAAGAAGAACAAAAAGGATGTCTAGAGGGCAGAGACTCCTGTCCCAGCATGAGGGAACAGATTGAGAC